AAGCAGAAGTTTGTGAAATTCTCCTTTAAGGCTATTTTGCTATATTTACACCACAGTCGTAGAGGCGACATACATAAACTATTATCCACAACTTGCAGCAGTGAGGCACGTTTTAAACTAACTACCAGTTTAACTGTCTGCAGTGTAGAGCAATTTTAACCCCTTAAAATCTTATTACATACTAAGGTATATTTTCTGTAACTACAGGGACTTCAGTGCAAAGTTGCTGAGCTATTTTTAGGTAGTAGAATTGTGTTATAAAACTTTGGGCCCATCGGCAGGTAGCCGCCTTCAATTAATATCCCGTTCAACTGGCCACTCGACAAATCTGAGTGAGCGCCTACTACACACTTAGCAGCAAGAGTATTTGCGTGTAAATGCATGAGAAAGAAAAGGGCTATATAAATGTAGCATATTCAACACATTTTATTTAAAACATACTCCATAAAATCAAAACATAGAGTGCTGCCCCAGGCAGTAAAAATCTATACCTTTTTATACAGACACTCCAGTCTAAAAGTCTAAAACGGTCTAAAACGTAATCATTTTTACACAGTGGTGCTGCATTTGTCCCATTAGTGAGATTTTCCAGTTTAAAGACTAGGAAACCCCCCCCGTCAGTTGATGTCTCTTGAAGGTGGGAAGAACTAAGAACTTTTGAAAAATTACAAGCGCTACTTGAGGCTGGGCTGTTAGAAATGTTGACTTTTTTGTGTAAGCTGGCTAATGCAGAAGTCGATTAGCTAAAATTTCTCATAGGAACATGAATATCTGTATTTATTGGCTTCTACATCAAATTTCTATTGCTGCCTTCAAGTCCTCCTCAGAAGTTCCTATTTACGACTTTGAGAAGTGGTCAGAAACAACATGGATGAACTGGAAATAATGCTTTTTGTTTACTTTAGTTATTCTGTCATTAAAAAGAGTGTTTATTTTGTGCTACTGCAACAAAATGACAGGATAAGGATGCTTATGAGATGAGTTTTTATCCAGTTAGAAGCACCACATAAAATGTGATTACATTTGTATTTTCATGTGTGTGTGCCTGCAGTATTCATGTGTGGCTGCTGAATAACTGAAATACAAATAGTTTATCAGTGGCTAACGTTGCTTTTTTGTTGGCGCCTCCAACTCAGAAACTTGGGGCTCATCAAAAGAATCTTCCCTAAGTTTGAGTTTCCCACTAGTAAGTCCGACACCGTGGTGGTGTTAATGTGTGCTCATCTCGTACATACAATATTTCCGACATGACTTAAAGGCAACATATATTTCTGTAGGGGTTCACGCAATGCATGCTTGGTAATGCAGTGAAAGGAAATTGACGGACAAAAAGGGAAAAAAAAAAAAACACTGATTTGGTCAAACAGATAAGATAATGCTGCTCAACAGAATATTACATAACATGACAAATAACATGTTAAATGCTCATTTTAGGCCACAATTTCCTTTTAAAGGTAGCAGCAGCCCAGCTTATCTTGAACTGAATGCAAACTTTAATGCACTCAAACTGCACTGAGTGAAAATATAAATACTGAATAACTCGGATCGAGATCGGGGGCTTAAAAGTGAAAGGGACATGCCTGTATTTTGGCGTTCAGGCCCTTTTGGGTGAAAGCTCATATTGTTCTGTCGACAGGCTACTGATGTCTTAAGATTTCAGCATTTTGCTGAAGCTCCCGAGCGTTTCGTTTGAACTCCTTTGAAGACTGAGTCTAAAAGCGTACGGGTTCACAGGGAGGTCTCTCAGACTGGTGAAAGGCTCCAGTGACACACGCGATATCTCTGCTTCCTGACAGAAAAAATATAATAAATAAAGAGGAATGACAGAGCGGAAGGCTCTTCCTGTCAAATGGTGCTATGTTGGCGCGAGGGAAATGTAACATGAAAAGGAAGAGGACAGAGACAAGTGGGAAATATCAAAGCTTTTCATGAGGGACAGTGCAATCTTGTGTTTTCTCTTCAAAAGCAAGAATTAATGTGATCCTCACGAAAGGAAAATTAATTATCAAAGTATGCCGAGGAGCCGGCCTCATCTGTATGCCTCAAACAGCGCCGGCTCTATCAGAAGGCTGGATGGAAAACACAGAGGAAACTGAGGATTATGAAATAGATGAAGACATCGGAACGTTTTTTTTTCTGTTGCCATTGTTTGAGAAAGTAGGAATATTTGCTAGCTTTTGAAACAGTTCTGGTCACTTAAACGTGTCCGTACATGAATGAAAGTAAGGGAGAGAAAAAGAGACATTAATAGAGATAAAAAAGCAGGCCGTCTTCGCTGGTACCTGCGAGGGATTTGGTGCTGTTGCCGTCTCTCCGCGGTGATCCTTTGGCCGTGCCTTTGCTGCTAATGCAGTCATAACAAAGCAGAGCTATTCCAGGAAACAAGAAAAGGAAGAAATAAAAGGAAAATACCTTTCAAAAACTAAAAACGGGTATGGATTGGTATGTTTTTCATGGATTTTGATTTTTTTTTTTCCTTCCTCTTGAGAATTGATTATTTAAATCAAAGTGCTCTTGTCCTTGAACAGCCATGTTTAGTTATGGCTGAGTTAGCCATAAGATCCTGCGTCATTTAGAGGTGAATTTCAGCAAGGCCAAAATGCGATACACATTCCACCAGCAGCACCTGTTCTGACCCCAGAAAGTGGCAGACGGACACAGTTCTTTCCCTTGACAGCCTCCGAATGATTTGCAGGTAAGCATCAGTGTGAAATAACACAAACAGATCATCCACTCAGGAAGCCAGAATAGTTAGAACTGGAAAAGAACGGTTCAAAACAGAGAAAAAACTAAGGACTAGCTAGCATTCAAAAGGGGAATTCCACTGATTTTTTAAAATTTCTGCACAATTCAACTGTTGTGCTGTAAAAAAAAAAACCTACACTCTTAAAAAACATAGTTCTTCAAGGGTTCTTTAGTAAAGAAAATGGTTCTAAATAGAAATGTGCTGACTTGTTTTTCTTTATGGTGGTGGTGATAGGAACCAGGGGTCGCAACATCTACAACATAAATTTAGCCATTTTATTTAATATCTTAACCAGTAAACCTACACCTGCCTCTTGAATTTCATATATTATATTAATAATGACAAAATAGCCATTAATTTGGAAAACGTATTATTTTACCCTATAACGCCTGCATGGAGCAGTGGCGATCAGCCAGTGTGCAAGATTTGCCCGAAAAGCCAGAGATGGAAACGCGTCCAACATGCATTCCAATCTCAAAATTAAGCACACGAATCATTTTACAGATTCAGTCGACCTCAAAGGCCTCAGTAGAGTCAAATGGTTCTTATGTTCGTATCATGCTCGTTATGGTTTCTTTTCCTATCTCATGTGCTGCTAAATGAAGACCAGAAAATCCCTAATAAACACTACAAACAATAGCTGCTCAGTGATGGCTAACAGCTACATACACCACAGATACTCAAACACCAGTTACTCGGCTCTGCACTACAGATACGAGTCTTTATTTGTGTGTCAGTTACTCAGTTAACTGCACCAAGCCTGCAGTGTGGTGTGAGGCGCTTTTAGCCTGCTACCTAAGCTATTAGCTTAGCTAAACTACTAACATTAGTTTATCGAACACGCTACAGCTGCAGTCACCACAGTAAAGGTCCAGTATCTTCTTTCTGTCACTCCAACGCCAGTCACAACTTTTCTGTCGTTTAGTCTGAATCGAACTTGTACTGCGGTGTGCAGCACTGACTGGATCTGTAGCCTGCTCGCTAAGCTAACATTAGGTTAATTTGTTAGTTAGCATGCATTCCTGTCCCTTTAAGACTAGACGCTTGACTTCGCTCCTTCAGGTTTGAGTCATTTTCATCTAAACTCTATCACTGTGTCGGTGCTTCAGTTAGCAAGAATCAAACCCTGTCTTTGAAGAGTAGGTCTATAATGCTAGCTAAGAAAGATAATGATAACCAGCTTAGAAACATTTAACATTTAGCAACTGTTGTTAGATTGTTTTCACATTTACTGAATGCACTTTATGATATTAACCCTTACCCCTCTCAGACATCAGGCAACATGTGAGGACGTCTGGTTCCTATCACCATGATGAACTTTTTTGACTAGAACTCTCTAGAATTGCACATTTCATTTTAAATCACTGATTGACTCTATTAGCGCCTTAATGATTTAACCATGCAGACATTAATAAAAAACAAAACAAAAAAAAAAACACAGTTGAATTCACCTTTAACAGAAGTATCCCAACCTGCTAAGCTAGATGCCAATACCATCCAGCAGATGTGGAGAAACTCATTACAAGAAAGCTTCACAGATTCTTTGTGGAATTAGGTTAAAATTGTCTTTTAACATTTCTTAAAAAGCAAGCCTTAATAAAGAAGCTAAAATCTCTCTCTCTCCCCCCGATCTCTATTAGTTAATCGATCGCTTCAACTATCCCATTAAGTGCTGAAATGCATCAAGGCCTTTAGGACCATCAGCCCTCAAGCAATGAGCTTCTCCACAGCTTAAGCATGAACAGACCATCACCATCAGTAAAGCAGCCTCAGCTGGCAGCGCATTCAGTACTGAACACCAGAGACCACATGCATGACCACAAAACCCTGAGCTCGGACAACGGCGCAATGCGTCAACAGATGCATTAAGAAGAACCACAGGACACTCACACGGACCGGAGACATAAATCTCTGACCTCAACAATTCAATTTCATTGCGATTCTTTATCGAAGGATTCAATACATCACAATATTTCAAATTTCACCACGATTCAATTCAGAATGATTTTTTTTAAATGTGCTGAGATTTGACTGAAGGATTTATTTACACAGTAGTGGAAAACAGGCAATGAAACAACACCAAGCTTTGATTTTACTCTTTGATTTTTATATTTTCATTTTATTTTGGCCAAAAAAGTGATCTATGTATTGTAATCGATTCTAAAATGCCATGCAGTTGATGAAGTTGAATCTTCAGCTTCAGATCAATAGATGTTTATATCCTTAACACATGTACATCTGCACAGTGTCATACCTGCGAAGGCTTTAGAAATGCGGTCTTTCTTCCACTCCCAGGGTTGGTCATACTCCTCCGGTGGCCTTTCGTCATCCTGGGGCAGTCTGCTCTCGCGCCCACAGCGGACTCTCTCTGGGTCTGAATCCCCACCGTTTTCCGCAGGCTCATACGGTGTGTCGTACAACGGCAGCTGCCGAACTGGACCGTCCTTTGGACAGCGACCTCCTCGGATCTCTGTGCAGAGCAGAACAGAGACAGAGAGATTGACAGACTAATATTAATCTTGAGTATTAAACTAATTGCATATCAAACTATCAAATGTACGATAATATTGGATTGATATCAGTGTTGGCAAATAATTGCTTAAAGAATGATTGGATACTGACAGACATTTAGATTTAACTAAAATGTAAATAAAAAAACAGAAAAAAAAATTTACGTATTGAGAGCAGAATGTTTGGGTGATGCTGGGCTACTATGCTAAACTTTCGCCTCATTCGTGATAGATGTTATATTTCTTTGTAATGCATTGTATACATATTTATGTATATAAATATGTATACAATGCATATGTGTGTATGTACACACACACACACACACACACACAAAAAATACTGGATATCCTCCCACAGTTCCCATATCGGTCGACCCATAAATGGAAGTTTATAGTAACTAATAGCATAAGAATTGTCAAAAAAGGCTATACTGAGTTGTAAAGTAATCGCAGACAGACCTGCTATGTGGTTTCTGGCAAAGTATCTTGCATCATAGCAACCATCATAAATGTGAATTTTGTCTGTACTGTCCGTTTCTATAGAGAGTGTCAGAAATAACATAATCAAGCCTATTATAATGTCCAGTGCAAAACTCCACACACCAAACCAAACATGTCTTGGCTGATGGACTACATTTGGGGTGAGGGGGGAAAATATCTGTAAATTGGATTTTTCGCCTTTATTAAACGTGTTTTCTTTTCAACCTGAGCACAGGATCAGATTTTGCAAAGAGCACTTCATTCCCCTTTGATACTGTATCCACTTGCAAAGCTAAACATTTAAGAAGGCGTTTAGTTTGAGAAAGAAACCTGATTCAGCTTGTGATCAATGTGTCTGTGATGCTGAAGCGTTTGGCCATGTGTAAAGTCTACACCGGCTGCATTAAGTCTCTATGGTCTTCCTGTAAGCCTGAGGGCTGACTCACTTTCGCATGCCTCAGTAAATTTAGCCCAAAACAGGCTCTTAGTAAGCTAATTGTGTTTAATAGCGAAGCCTGCTGTGTTGGGAGCAGAAGCTCCAGCAGAAACCTCCAGCTGCTTCCTCCAGACCCACTGAGACCAAACAGAGGAGAAACACACCGCAACGTCTAAACAGACTCATTACCTGCAACTCACTAACACCGGGCAGAGCAGTGTACTGCAGTCACAGGGTTTGCAATGCGGTTTATGGACAATAAAAAGTCAGTCTGAGGATCACAGAATATACACATGGCTTAAATGTTCACTTTTTTAAACATTAATCTGCTCAGGGGCAGCCACTTGGGGGGCCTTGGGGTGCAAAAGGGGGATCTTCCTGCCACCTCAGTTTTGGACATACCGCCCGTTTCAATACTACAACAAATTAACAAACCCTTGTCCACTTGGCCTCATCATTTCTCTTTGGGGGAAGCCCTGGTGCTATCATAAGGGTCATTCCACTCGCCTACTTTATTAGCTCAAGTGAATGGTATTAGAGGAGCCCTTGAAGGGGTGAGTGATCGAGTGAACGACTTCAGCCACACAACGTGTCCAAAAATCATTTTCATCGGATGCATTTCCCTTTTCAAACTCGTAAATAATGCCATACATAGCGACAGTAGTTCATAAGCCATGGTAGTACACTACTTTAACATTTCAAACCTTAAGAACTGACTTGCCGGGTTTTAGGTTACAAACTATTCCGTCTCCTATATATGACTGCTTTATTTTACTCTCCTATCTTGCTAGTTAGCCTGCTAAACTACAACAGCAAAAAGAAAGGCACTACATCATGGCCAGACAAAGCAACTACTTACAAATTTTATGTATGTTATACGTAAAGATCTTTAAAAACATAAACGTTTGCATGACTAGCCGATTCATTCGTGGAGGCTAACCTGCTGAGAGTGAGTGTGATCCATTTGTATAATGAGCTCCTCAGTGTTGGCCACTTGTGTAATGCAGTTTCGATGCACATCCGTGTGGTGAGCCAAAGTGGATGAGGGCATGTCGAGAAAAGTACTGAAATGGGGCCTTGATTATTTTAAATATTTAAGTTCTCTTCTGCAATTACAAATAACTAGTTTATTTCTCCCGAAGATTTTGATGTCAGTGTACAGAACACATCACACCTTACTTGTTGGCTGGATAAATATCTTGGGTGGACCACTTGATTTGACCATACGTGAGATTTTGCTTCTGTTTATCTCAAAAAACTAAGCCCTTTTTCCTAAAAACCAACTGTCCTGTTGTAACTTAGCTCAGCTGTATGCATAGGGGATTCATTTGTTGCATGCTCATTTTATTGAAATTCACTTATTCCTTACACTGAAGACAAAAGGAAAGGTGTAAGAGCTGCACTAAACACTGTAGAAGACTGCATCGCCTCTTAAACTCACCAAAAAATTCAAAGTAAACAAGGCAAACAAAGTTTTGAGGGGGTTGACTGGGTTAGTGCATTTAGTTGTTGTTATGCTTTTGCTGTATGCATGTGGTAATGCTGTAACATGCCCCCACTGTAGAACGCATCAGTTTTAATTTCATTCAGGTCATGTGGGTGGTTGCAAAATATGTTTCTCACTCTGCCCTGGTGCATTCCCTGGGGACAGCAGAGGAAAATTAGCCATTTGCCTAATTCAAGCACATTTATGTAATGAAATAATGACGCTGTAGATACTGTCTGTTAAATAAACAAATCCAGTAATTAATATAGCTGCTTTAACAGAATCCACTACTTAACTACACCTCCTACAGTTGAGTCATACATGAGATATAACACCACAAAGGAAATGTTTCTGGAACACAAAATCTCTGAGAGAGTAATGCACTGTAGATTAGTTCAGGCCTCCAGCCATCTGTCTCGACACTGCAATTTCACCACTGCCCTCCAGGTGTCCCTATGGGCATCAGACGCTCACACTGAGGTAAGACTAATGAAGTTCATATAGCAAAAGCACACCCTGTTATAGCCTCCTTCATCAATTTTTCATTGCCATTATGGCACAACAGCAAATGTCCTAGCAAAAGGCAAGTTATACAAGATGGAAGGAAAGGATAACATGACATATAGGTTACAGTTAGTAGAACAGGGTTGCTGATACTTGGTCACAGGGTAATGCTTATGGTTTAGGAAAACCTTTGCAGTTATTTTGATGGTGATTTGACAATTATAGCTTTCTATTACCCAGAATTGTTCCTATGCACATGAGCAAAGGCCACAATCTTCTAAAACGGGTATTCCATTCTGAGTATCCAGCACAGTTCGGTGATTTCCATAGTTAATCACTGATTCAACTCATCTGTTAATTGCCTCCTACAAAGAAATTAGATCTTGGCAAGTGAAAATATCTTAAATCTAGTCAATACGTAATATTTCTTATTTTCTTGTTATTCCTAGTAATATTCCTGAGACTGTTTTCAGATGTTTTGTTTTGTTTTTTTTTTTACTTGAAAGCAATTTGATGAGGGCAGCATGATACAAAGTATGTACAAATTACATCAACATCTTCACACATTATTAGAAATAATGGGAAAATGAGAAATATTAATTCTATTGAATAGATTTTGATTTTTGATTTTGATTTTGAGAATTTGTTGCAGTGTAACAATTTACAGATGAGTTGAATTTTACTAGGGATGCATGATGGGAATCATGCTGGAAATATATCGATGTCTTCAAAAAGACACTGGCAATGGACAGATGTGGCCAATAATGTAAAGTGATATTTTATGACGTACATATTGTACTCCGGAAAAGCAGAATGGGCTACTGCACCAAAGTACTTTATTCATTTCACTACATTTATAACCCTATACGAGTTACATTTCTCTGTAATGCTAATCCAGGTGGATTAAGTCCCAATTTCCACATTTATTATTAATGTTAATGCATCAGCATCGGATATCGGCACTGGCCAAAATGCTCATATCGCTGCATCACATCATTTTATCTAGAAAAAAAAAAAAAGGGGTGTCTTATTCTACTGGCAGATCATTTGGCTTGTTTTAAAACAATACAGCTAATTTTGTTTATTTCAAGAATTACTGTTTAAAACAAACAAAATTATCTCCCAAGAGAGTAAGACAATATCACTAGACATAGACAGACTTACAGCAAGAAAATATGACTAGATAGAGGCTGAATAATCTTATTGTATTTTTACAACAATTTAAAAAAAGACAAATATTAGTTATATCGGCTATAATTCAGATGATTTCACTTGAAGATATCCTTTTTTCCAGTTAAGGTGGGCATATTTGAGTGAGGGAATTACCAAACTGTAACTGGATACTGACCACCCAGGACCAGAACTGAATACTCCTACTGTAAAAGTTGCACATCTGTGTTGTGAGCCAGCATTGGTCATCTTATAAAACAACTGGCAAATGATACCAAGTGTATTTGAGACACCCTGGAACCCTGGAAATTTGAAGGAAATGATGAATTAAGTACTGGTTCAGTTTTTCGGCGTCACCCTCGCTCTCATGCTCTCCTTCTCTTACTCTCTTTATCCCTGTATGAAGTTGTTAGCATATCCATCTGTCTATCTGTGGTGTGGCATGAAGTTGTTAGTGGGCCGATCCTCGCAGCATGGCGTAATGCAGCGAATGCTTCTGGAATGAAATATAACACCATACAACTGCATAATTGCCTCTCAGCCCGAGGGAGCTCTTGCGGAAAAATGAGAAAAGTGCAGAGACTAATGGAGCTAGCAGGCGAAGGGGGGGTGGGGGGGGTGGAGGGAGATGAGAGATCTTTAAATAAGCCAATGTCTCTCGCCTTTAGAGCTCCCCTTTAACAGTTCAGATGATATAAGATCATGATGGGATAAGGATCCTCCTGCTGCTGAAGGTGTGAGAGAGCGAGCGAGTGAGCAAGTGAGAGAGCAAGAGAGAGAGTGAGGGAGGGAGAGAGAGAGAGAGAGAGAGAGAGAGAGAGAGAGAGAAAGAGAGACGGAGTGAGAGATGAGATTTAATACATCTTTATTGTACCAACATACGC